CAGGACTGACCCTTGGGGACACCACTAGTTACCCCTCTCCATTCTAAAAATGTACCATTTATTCCTACCCTTTGTTTCCTGTCTTTTAACCAGTTCTCAATCCATGAAAGGACCTTCCCTCTTATCCCATCGCAATGTAATTTACACAAGAGCCTTCGGTGAGAGACCTTGTCAAATGCTTTCTGAAAATCTAAGTATATTATATCTACTGGATCCCCCTTGTCTGCATGTTTGTTAACCTCTTCAAAGAACTGTAATAGATTAGTAAGACAGGATTTCCCTTTACAGAAACCATGTTGACTTTTGTCCAACAAATTATGTTCTTCTACGTGCCTCACAATTTTATTCTTTACTATTGTTTTGACTAATTTGCCCGGTACTGAAGTTAGACTTACCGGTCTGTAATTGCCAGGATCGCCTTTAGAGCCCTTTTAAAATATTGGTGTCACATTGGTTACCTTCCAGTCATTAGGTATGGAAGCCGATTTAAAGAATAGGTTACAAACCACAGATAATAGTCCAGCAATTTCTCATTTGAGTTCTTTTAGAACCCTCGGATGAATGCCATCCGGTTCCAGAGATTTGTTAACATTAAGTTTTTCTATTTGTTCCAAAACCTCCTCTAATGACACTTCAATCCGGGATAGTTCCTCAGATTCATCACCCACAAAGGATGGTGGAGATTTGGGAATCTCCCTAACGTCCTTAGCCGTGGAGACTGAAGCAAAGAAATCATTTAGTTTCTCCGCAATGGCTTTATCGTCCTTGATTACTCTTTTATATCTCGATGGTCTAGGGGACCCCCAGGTTTTTTAACAGTCTTCCTGCTTCTGATGTACTTAAAAACATTTTGTTATTTCTTTTTGAATTTTTGGCTAGCTGTTCCTCAAAATCTTATTTTGCTTTTCTTATTACATTTTTACACTTGATTTGACAGTGTTTATGTTCCTTTCTATTTATCTCACTAGGATCACAATGTGCCTCTTCTTTCTTTCACGCTGCCCCTTATGCCTAGGACACTCTCCCCAATCTAGTCCATCACCCTCTCACCCTTCTGATCCTTCCATGAGACCCACCGTGTCTGTTGTGCCACCTGCAGGATGGGCAGGTTTAATGGCAGTTGAAGAAAGCTGTGTTTAGTAAAGAAAAACATGTTCATATTATTTGTAAGGCTCACATTGAGCACAGAGCTATCCTCTACAACCACAGGACTGCATTAACCATTAGCCTCAGCTTGCCTCCTCCTTTCCTTGCATTGTGTGTTATTCTTACTCATTGCATCTTATTTCAGATTTGAGTAGAAACTCTTTAGAATCATAGAATCCTAAGGCTGAAAGAGGCCTCAGGAGTCATAGAGTCCAGCGCCCTGTCCAAGGCAGGACCAATTCCAACTAAATCATCCCAGCCAGGGCTTTGTCAAGCTGAGACTTAAAAACATCTAGGGA